TAACAACATTCTAACATGGCTTAAAGCTCACAAGAATCAATTTAGCGTAATATAGGACCTTTAAGGATGGTACAAGGTCAAGGACATAACTAGAAAACAATAGGATTTACATTAGGGCAGTAATTAGTGAAATATCAATAAAAGAGGGCAGATTTCCATGAGGGAGAAGCCTTTCCCATAACCTTTGCTGTATATAGAACATGGCTATTGATGAAGCTTGTAGGGATTCTCATGCCATTTAAACATTAATTTCATTTCACAGATGAGTAGTATGATTTGCTTGAGGTATTCGATTAAGGTAATTGTATTTTAATCATTTTAAATCTACCTGTATAACATTAACATTGAAGTAACAATATTTCAAACTTGCAGTTGAACTAGATGCAAGTAATTTAATTTTCTTTTTTTATTTGTAGGTATAGCTGCACCATGTACCGTATTTTTTGGACTAAAGTCGCACTTTTTTTCATGGTTTGGGTGGTCTTGCAACTTACTGTGGTGCGACTTATATATTAATTATTAATTTTCACACTGACACCCACGAGAGGGAGCTCTAGGCTTGTGTATCAGTATCTGCTACTCCTATTACTCCTTTACTCCAGTACCTCTGTCACTTCACTCTACTGTGCATGTCTCCTGCAGAAAAAGCCGCTGTCCTGCTGCAAGTAGTGCAATATTCAGCCGAGAACGGTAATCAAGCAGAAGGAGGGACCGGCGGAAAGCGGGGATGGAGCTTCACGGCAACCAGGAGGGTGCACCATGCAACTTTCCTGGAAGTCATTGGATGGATTGACAAAGACTGGACTTCAGTGACAACCGAACCCATCCAGTTGGGATTCAGAAAGGCCAGAATAATTCTAACTGAAACTGATGCTGAGTCCGATGACAGCTATGAATAAGATTAGTGACACCAAGGATGAAAAATTCACTGGATTTCGTGATCTGGAGTGAGATCACGAGTTTGGTAAACTTGTTCTGTTGTTTATGCTATAGTTATCTGAATATCGGTTCATATGTTACGTTAACATACCAGACGCCTGTTAAGCCTGTTGTTCTCTGTTCTATTATTATTACTATGACTTGCCTTTCAAGATGAAATTTCAGTTCCTGGTCTCTGATTTGATAAAATAAATTTCCCCCAAAAAGTGCAACTTATAGTCCGGGGCGACTTATACATGTTTTTTTTTTTTCTTCTTCTTCATTATGCATTTTTTGACTGATGCGACTTATAGTTCGAAAAATACGGTAAGCTTTTTTTTTTTTTTTTTTTTTTTTGGAATGCACTTGGAATGTTCCACAGTATGGCACTGAACGAATATCTGCATGGCCTATTATTGGTCTTACCCTTTTGTATCCAAGTCTGATACATATATTTTAAGCAATAATAGAATGCACAGTTAATAAAAGCTGGATATGCCCTAATGCCCTACTGTGGGACATTTCATACAAAGCATTTCTATAGACACAAAACATTTCTATAGAAAAAGATGCAACATACAACCACAAATATCCGATATCGTCCTGTTTTATTTGGGACACCGTGTGACTTGTGTGTGAGTAATATTAAGTACTCATCCTTGTTAACCCCATATTGGTGGTTACTTGAGCATAACAGAGTTGGGATTCCCATAGCACCAAAACACAAACTCAAATCCTTGGAGGCAGGAGGTAGATGGAGTGAACTGGGCTGGAAACTGGTGTGCATTTGCATCCAGCGCAGCCATAAAACCTTCGACTGGTTTAAGGAAGGACGACAGGGGATGCCTAATGCTTCCTTCATTAACGACCCACCAGAGACCAGGGGCTGAGGCAGGACCAGGCCCAAATTGAAAAGTACTGAGGCATAACAGTGTCAGATGCCCTGTTTCCCAGTCCCCAAAACCACTGATTGAATTCCTGCCTGGTTCAAAGTAAAAATCCCAGAGACCGACTTATTCCCCGTTGAAAAAGTCCATGGGTTTTGGCTTGGTTGACAGTTTAACTAACCTGCCGTGAACAGATCGTCAGAGAAACATGAGCAAATAGCTGTAAAAGTAGCACACTGGTAATGTCACTGTCACATAACTAAAAAGGTTTAAATGATTATCTGAGAGTTTTTGGGGTGCATTATTTTATGATTCAACTGTCAGAGAAACAAGTCCTAATAATTGTTTTTAAAAGGGGTTTTGTAAGACCACTTTAAAAAGGCAAGCAGTCAAAACATGAGCTATGATTTGGGAAAATATTCTTGATTCTTCCACAAAAAAATTTAGTTAAAACCTACAAATAATATCCTAATAATATCTTAAATTCCACAATTGAATTCTGATTTTAAAGTGGTACTGTATGAAATAGAAAATTTAAATGCACAGTGGCAGAGTGGTTAACTGCTAATTATGGAGTCGTTCAAATGGGAATTGTTGAATGTAAACTCACTACTGTCTGACCAATGACCAGCCATTTAACCTGAATTACAAAAATGAAAACAAACAAAAAAGCAACAATAAGAATATAACCAATAATTCGTTCATTTGTTTTTCAAAATAAAACCAAAAATACAAAAACAAAAAAACAAGTATTTTCTTCATTATTTGTTTCCAAAACCAAAGTGAAAAAAATGGATAACAATTTGTTTTTTCTGTTTTCGTTTTTGTGTTTAAATGGGTTTTAAAAAATGGACAAAGGCCGTTTCCCTTTTCCCTAACTTAAACTGCGATGCCGAACTGAACCAGGACTGAGACCAGGACCAGACCGGGACTGAACCAGGACTGATCCCAGGATTAAAACTGGACGACACCAGGAACCGAGTCTAAACCAGAACTGAACCAGATCTAAGCCAGGTCTAAACCAGGTCTAAACCAGGTCTAAAACCAGAAGTGAACTGGGGTAAATCAGGTCTCGGTCTCATTTCTGGGCTGGTGCTAGTCTGGTCCGAACCTGTCCTGACACTCAGTCCTGTTTTGGACCTGTTTCAGTCCTGTTACAGTCCTTGTTCAGTCCGTATGCGGTGCAAAAGTCCGACATCGCAACTTAAGTGGAGGAAACGGATCATTTTTTCCATTATTCAACACAAAATCGAAAAAAAAAAATTGTTCTCTTATTTTTGGTTTTATTTTGAAAAATGAATGAACGAACGATACACGTGTAACCACCCAAGTTTTACTTGTTGAATTGGAAATGTGTTCCTTTAAATTTCATTCAACTATGCAGTGTCATATGCGCCCAGTAGACGGTGCTGTGGGTTTTGTTGCAAATGCACACCATCTTGTGAAGAAGCTGGACAGCACATGTAAGCTCTATTGTGCAAAAATGTAGTAAAATATTGCTTAAATTGTTAAATAACAACTTGTTTTTGGTTCTTAGAGATACATCAAATTGTAAAGAGTTCTGGAGAGGAAGTTTTGTCCAGGTTTTGTTTGTTCTTGTTCTCCGGTGAGTGTGCTAAGGTGATATGCTAGCTCAATTTTGTTTTCTACCTTGACTTAACTACATGATGCAACGACCACTTATTATTTACATGATTCAGAGAATGTATGAAAAAACCAACTGGAGAAATATATAACTATGTACAAATCAGAACTTATATACAGATTTTAAGGGTTGTTACACTACCATGTGCACTGCTAGTGCCACATGTTGAATACTGCGCATTGTGTAAAAAAAAACCTACAAGCTACTGTAATCCAGTTAAAAGTAGTTCGAAATGATTTAAACCAGATCTGAATTTGTGCTTTGCGGAAATTGTATTAATGTTGCCCTGCTTGTGCAGGTTGGTTTTTTTGTTGACCCGAATTGACCTGGGACTGTTCGCTGTGAGGCTGGAGTCACTGGATCCAGGACCTGTGGACCTGCTGGACGCCTTGACGTCTCTTCTTGGTGGACCTGGCCTTCATTGCAGTACAGTTGAATTAAACTAAGATCTTGTGCACCAACGAAAGAAAGAAACAAAAAATCATACTACCCGGGTAGATGAGACAAAATAGTTTTTTTTCAGAGCTCTGAACTTTTTATTTTTGAAAGGACAAATTGTTGGACAAAAGGACTGATTTATGTAGGGGTAAGCTGGTAATATTTGGGGAAGAATATTGATTCTGTTCAATAAATTTTACACACTTTTCTCATTTCAACCTACAGTCTAAATTTATTACACCTTCTTTCCTCCTTTAGAACCTAGATTGCTGGGTACACGTATCATTCATATCTTACTAGTTCGTTTGGTACAGGTTACACCGACCCAATTCGTGGCGAGCCAGCCAGGAGGAAAAGGTGAATTAGAGACAAAACTGTAGAGTTAAATACAAAATCTTTTGCCGAATTCATTGTCATTTTTATTTCGGAAAGCAACTCCGCTTTATGTTCGCAAATATGGCTTCTGAAATAGACTGTGGTGTTGACATGAGAAGGTGTATTTATGTTGAGGGCATTGCTACCTCTGACACAGATGAACAGATTACTGAGTTTTGTTCAACCTTTGGGC